GACTCCCAGGAGGGGAGACTGTTCCTCAGGACAGCAAACGCTCAGTCCACTTGTGTCCTCAGTCTAACAGGCTGGTAGCAGGACTCAGTTAGAGGACCCGGGGGACCCAGAATGGGTCGGAGGAGGAGGGAGAGGATGCTGGGCTCGACATCGTGACGATGCGCGACAGGAACCGTTGACAGGCCTAATTAGTCGTTCACTGACACACTCTGGAGCCTTGTAGATGAAGAGGAGGAGGATAGTGAAACACATCCTAAATTTAACTGGGAGTAAGTGTAGTAACAACGAAACCAGGCTGATCTGAGAGTAATCTGAGGTCTGACTGAGTAATCTGCTGCAAAGTTTTTCACTAACTGTCAGCGTGGGGCGGCTTCTTGGCTTAGGCAGGGATAGAACATGACAATATCTAAACAGGAGGACACGAAAGCAGGCAGAACCCGTTTTATCTGCAAGAGATGAGCTAATGGAAGATGCATTTTTGCAGTAGTTTTCATGTGAAGGAATTCTATCAGAAACTATAGAAAGGTTTCCTCTTAGTATTTTCTATCATTAGCTGTGAAGTGAATCAGCTCTGGTACGTACAGATCGTTTCCTCTTTGATTTACGATGTTCTGCTTTGCTGCTGGAGGAGAACGAACAGGAACCTCATGGGATGGTGTTTTTTGCCTCAGTAAGAATCACATTATTGTTCTCCACTTTCTTTTTCAAATGTGAGACTTTAGGTCTAGACACCTCCGGTTATTGATCAGACACGTATCAATCAGTTTAAGTTTTGTGTTCTTGAACAAAGAGAGAAGGAAGATCGCTTATTGTCCAATTTGCTCCAAATGTTCAACTCTAAGTGGTTCAAAAATACAAGATGGTAAAGAATCGGTGCAGACAGACGGGAGATACGTCCAGTAGCTGCTCACTGTTGATCAGGTAGTTAATTAAAATGTCATCTTTGTTCCCACACGAGTCGGATCAGATGAGAAAATCCTCCATCGACCGCAATGTAAAAGAAGCACGGTCGGCACATTTTAAGCGCCATCGTCCCTGTAAAATGTTATTTTGAGTTGTGACTCACGATTAATCATTTCAAAGTCCTTCAGCACTCGCTGAAAGTCCTTCTGTTCGACAGTGTGTCATTACTGCTCAGCAATTTGCTCATTTACAGCTTCCAAGTGTCATGGCTGGAGCTCGGTATCAAATGCTCAGTTGGGCTTTGCTAATCATGGCAATGCAATTTGTTTAATTAGGATGTGTAATTAGAGGGGGGTTAAAATGTAACTATTAATTATGCCGCTGACATCTAGGTGGAAAACACTGCCAATTCAACGCAATACGGTGGAAGCTCTCTCCCTCAGACCCAGTTTTAGTTCCTTGTGCTTCTTAAAAGTGGATCTGAGTGTCAGTCGCTGTTGGAGATGAGGCTCAGTTTGAAATGTGGACACAGATTTAGGCGTGACTGTTGAGCTCTCGTCTGGATTGTGTGTATATACAGTGTGAACCATCAAAGCATGGAATAGCCGAGTTGTAATGCTGCTAACTTCCACTCGTTTCGTTAGCATCACTGTTGCCATGGGAACGTTTGCCGATAGCTAAACCAGAATGAAACGGTTCAGCGAGCAGCTCGGTTATTGGTTATTGATGAAAGGTTCGGTTGTTTGATGTTTAGAGAGAATATCTGGACCTCTTTTATTATACGTCTCTCACAAGTTTGACAACTTTATGGACGTGCGGTGCCAGATTAGAGCCACAGAGGGTTTAAATCAATCCTGTAGTTTGACTGTAATCATCAGTCTTTTAGCTGAATGTTAAATATACGCGCAATCCCATTTAGTGATGATAATTGTATTTTAAATCAGTTGTGCATTTATAAATCAAATTCAGCATTCAATGTACCACTGAAGTTATACCTTTAGGCCAATATTTATTCTTTTTTTTTTTTTTTTAACATAGAAGCACTAATAAAATCTTAAAAATGTTTCGTAGGACAGCAACAAGGACATTTTAAGTGTTTATTGATGTACAGTATTGGCCTCTGTTTTATCTTATTACATCTGCCCTTTGTGATATCTATATAAATATGTACAGACATGCTTTTAACTTGATTATTTAGTTTGTGTTCTTGATCTCAACATAAAAAAAAAACTCACATATGCACCAACAGGGCTGCACGGTGGCTCAGTGGTTAGCACCGTCGCCTCGCAGCTAGAAGATCCCCCGTTTGCATTTCTGTCAGGAGGCCCGGGATCTTTCTGCGTGGAGTCTCCATGTTCTCCCCGTGCAGCGTGGGTTCTCTCTGGGTTCTCCGGCTGCCTTGCAATTGTTGATTTTAAATGGTTGTCTGTCTCTAAGTGTAGCCCTGTGATAGACTGGTTACCTGTCCAGGTGAACCTGCCTTCTCCCTGAGTCAGCTGGGATAGGCTCCGCCCCCCATGACCCTAGTGAGGATTAAGGTGTAGAGATGATGGATGTTCACCGATCAGCCACAACATTCAAACCACCTGCCTGTTATTATTGAACTCCCTCTTGTGCCGCCCAGTCAGCTTTGAATCGTCTGGGCGTGAACACACGGACCTCTGGGGGTGCATCCTGGGAAAGCTTGATTAGATTAGGATCCAGGGAGTTTAGAAGTCGGCTCTGGACTCTTTGTCATGTTCCTCGAGCTGCTCCTGGGCAGTTCTTGCGGTGTGGCAGGATGCTGCTGCCACAGGCGGGCGTGTGCTTGCAGCTACGTTTAGGTGGATGCAGCAGTAGCATCCACATGAACGCCAGGACGTTTCCCAGCAGATTCAACATGATGAGTGTCATTCTCTTCACCTGTCGGCGGTTTTAATGTTGTGGCTGCTCGGCGTGCAGCTTTTCTCACGTTGCAGCAGAGCGTCGGCAGACTGCTCCTTGGAGAGCCCCTCTAATAGCCCGCTGAGTAGCGAGCTTTCTTTAATTTTCATCACTCTGTTTTCACGTACTCCCCCGTTCCTTCACAGGCGGCTCTCTGAGGCATCCTATCCATCTCCCCTCCG